CCTACATCTATGCGTCCATAAGCATAAATCCTTTTACAGTCATAGCAATTCCACAATGCCAAGGAACTGCTGCAAGGCAAATTTTCACAACATTAATGGCTTCTGACTGCTCCTTGGCAACCCCAGCATTTTAACCTGGGTGAATGTGCTCCCAAAATACAGAGACTGGAGCTATCTCATCAGCTGTTCATATGACACAGATGGAGAGTGGCTATTAGGAGCCAGGCAATGGGCCTTGGGGATCTGAGGTGCTGTACTGTAGCCTCAGGCAATTTTGAAAAGCAGTATCCAGAGATGGAGGAGCAAATGCAATGTACGGCAAAAGTGCAAGTTTGAAATCAGTAGGCCTATCCATTGTCTAGATAAAGATATCTTTGTCTTCACTAAAAATCTATGTATGCATGCAGATAATGGCTGCAGATAGAAAAGAATACTTCCTTAACTTTTCTCACTTTTCTCAGGCAGACATAAAAACACTCCAAAATTATGAGAATGAACACATGCACTGTTTCTCTCTAGGCCAATGATTATGTGTGTGTGCACTCAAGGAGATTTTGGTGATGTTATTTAAAGCATAACTTAGACCTTCAAAATTACCAAGATTGCACTTTAGTTTTAAAATTTTTATTAAGATGTGATTACACAGCCTGATTCAGATTCCTCTAGTTAAACTTGGCTAACATTTACTTTTCTGGACTGTAAACTATTAGAAATTAATTGTCAGTAATGAGTTTAACTCAACACACACACAAACTATTTACACAAGAACAAAATTAGATATTGGAAACAATTAAAATTCTACAGGCATCAATAACTGATTTTTAATAGGGATAGTCACTCTGTCATGGTAAAGCGTAAACCTGACAGCTGCATTATAAATGAAGAAATATTTAGCAGTATAAATGAAGATATATTTAGCAGAACGCTTTGATTTTAGATTCCATTAAAATTAAAATCAATAACTGGAGCTACACCTTATAACAAGTTCAAAAGTAGAATTGCATTGAGTCCAAAGTTGATGAGCTGTAAATTATTATGAAAAAGGCATATATCTCTTTCAATAAATCCTATTATGCCTAAACAAACTTTACATTAACCAAAAAACAAAGCAAAAAACAAAACAAGCAATGAAACAAAAACCTGAGGTTCTCAGTGTTTGATACAGAAACATAACTGCAAACTGAATGTCTACTTAACTTCCTGACATTCATCGCTTTTTAAACTAATATTTAAGTCTGTGTCTGAGTTGCTGAATATTATCTCTGCATATACTGTACAAAGTTCTAAACTTGAAAATATTGCTAACATTTTTACTTAATGTTGTAAAACAGGTTAGTTCTGTACATTATTCACTTCCTACTCTTTTTTAACCCACTGTAAAAAAAAATTCAGAGAACATGGATTTCCAAAGATAGTAATTAAAAAAACATTCCCTAAAAGGATAGGTTTATGAATTTGTGGGTGCACATGTGCACACATATATGTGCATGTGTATGAGAGAGACTGAACTTTCATTCCTAGAAAGATATTCATACACTTTCAACGTCCACAAACCTCAGGAATCTTCTAGGAATGGATGATCCATGCCCCCAGAAGGTTTGCTTATATGTTGCATTTCATGTTAGGTATTTTGCATCACCACCACCCCAGCAGCAATGCACAAAGCTGTCAATCTTGCCCTAGATCTGTATAACTGTTGTGTTATACAGTGTACTTCCTCAAGGGAAAATATAGAGAATTGTATTTAATGCTGTTCCTGGCATCACTATCTCCCATTGGTTTTCTAACTATGTTTCGTTCTGTTTTCAAAGTGAGTATATACTATAAGAAGAGCTTTACGTCATATCATTTTTCTTAAAGACTCCAGTCCTAATTGCCTCTGCTGTTCCAAGAAAGCTATAGACAGTTTAAGCTATTCCTCACCTTATATAGTTAGTAATTTCTGAATATCTGTTCACTTAACATATTTTTATATATATTTGGTAGAAGAAACACAATAATTACAGTGTCATAACTGAATTCTTTTGACTTGGGTGAAATTTTCTAAAGAATTATAAATTCTGTCTGATATATTGCCAATATATCCTTTTTAAATTTAGTAAATTAAGTCTGCATGTTTTATGTTCCACTTGTACATTAGTTTGCAATAGGTAAAAGAAAATGTCAAGTTATCCTGCACTTCTGAACTGTCACTATATGGTATCTTAAAACAGCTTAGAATTCCAAAGGTGAATTGAAAAATGCGACAAATAACATTGTAACAATTAATAACAACAGATATCTGAACTCTGAACAAGAATTTATATCCAACACTCTTGGGAATATAATATAAACGGCAGTTCAAAAAGATCCTGCATTTTAATTTTATAATCAGACTTGCATCATTTCCATGTAAGCCCAGCTGCTATCCAAACTTTATACAGAACAGAAGAAACCACACACATTTGTTTTAACTACAGGAGCAGATTAATATAAACATAATGCAATTTGTTTAAAAAGTTAAGGAAAAAGGAAAAACAGGTTCATGTCTTTATTACAGAAGCATAGCTTTTGAAATAAAAAGCATATAAACTGCATCAATCCTACGAGAACTAGAGTGCAAAAGGTTGGGTTTTTTTAAAAAAAAAAGCATACCAGAGGAAAGCTATGGCAAAACATCTTCCTATTGCTGTTAAGAAAATTACACAAATATATCCATGAAGTTATCAAGAATCAAGCTCAACTTGATGAAGAGTTTAAAAAATATTTAAATCCAATGAAACTTAGTTTTGAATAGAAACAAAAAGGAATAGAGTATTACAATTATTTAGATAAGCACTTTACTTGGCATTTTATTTAGACCTATAATCTTTCCAGGATAAACAGTCACTGCAATTCATAGAACAATTCTAAGAGAAATTATAAACTGGAAATTAATTTTCAGTAATTTTTCCAAAAGCATCTGAAAAATTATGTGGGATAATCCAAAATGAGGAATTGAACAGGTAGTCCTCGACGTATTACCACAATTGAGCCCAAAATTTCTGTTGCTAGGTGAGACATTTGCTAAGTGAGTTTTGCTCCACTTTATGACCTTTGTTGCCACAGTTGTTAAGTGAATCACTGCAGATGTTAAGTCAGTAACAGGGTTATTAAGT